ATTGGAAGGGGAATGGAGACTCCACTAGCTAGATGCTGGGCCTTACCTTTTACTTTCCACAGATGAAACCAATCAGGAGAGTCTCCCAGGCTGCTTTTTTGTAATATTTGAAAGAATTAAGGGGTGGGTAGTCTCCATATGACAAGTGGATTTGGGGCTGCATTACAGTTTTATCAATTATCCAACCTCTAGCTAACCCACAAAGATGCAGGCCCTCTCATCAAAATCTTAGGCTTTGACCAGGGCCCTCCTTCCACTAAGTGCCACTAAGGGATATCATATGGAGGAGTTCTGTTCACACCTTTTGATATGCATTATGCATTGTAACAGGAATCCCCAACAGATGCCTTCTCCCTCACCTTTTCTCTTCCAATTGGGGTACTAACTAGAGCTCCTGAATGGACTACAATAGGAGACCATCTCTTTCGAAGAGATTACTTACCTGTATGTTGCAACTATGGGTTCTTTGAGATGTGTGGTCCCTGTTTGTATTCTACTTCATGCCCTCTTTCCCCTCTGCTGGGAATCTGTTGAAGTAGAGAAGGTGCAGGAGATGCATTTAGTCTACCCTGCTCTTTCTCACCTGTGACAAAACCCATGAGGTGAGTTCAGGTTGCATACATGAACCAAGAGACTACTAATTTTAAATTATCCAGCTCTGGATGAATAATATGCATATGTAAACATTCACTGGACTACAGATAGAGACCACACATCTTGAAGAACCTCTAGTTACAAGTAACCGACTCGGAGCTTAAATTTGGAGACTCAAATTTCTCAAACTTAATACCACATGAAACATTTTTCATTGGAGAAGAGCTGGATGAAGAGATTAGGATGTGAATTGAACTCTTTTGCCTCTTGATTCACCTTAGCTTGGGCTGTGTAACACACCCTCTCAAGACTATGCCTCCCATAATGTTCTTAGTAGTCTTGGTAGCAAGTATAAAATTTCTAAACTTCAGAACTTGTGAAAACCTGACTGGGGTAAGCCATTTGTAAGTTCCATGCTAATTAGAGACGAGTTTTTTTTTTTACTTGACTGTTTTTAGAAGCACCTGAGCTATCTGTCCTGCATAGCTATCAAAAATCTAAGACTAGGGGGTTACTGCTGGGTTTTGAATCAGTTTTTTTTCTTTCATCTGCTGCCACCAGTCTTGATAAATTTGCCACTACTGCTGCTAAGAGGGGTTAAGCTTAACAAGTTTTTGGAAGTTCTATTTTTTTTAAAACACCAATAAATTTAATATGCCCTTAATAAACAAAATCAGTATCTAGATACTTTGTCATCAATTTTACAAACCATATAACTGTATTCAGGTTGTGCCTGACTTGTTTAGTAACTTACTTTAGAAGAGGACTGGGATTTGGATCCACAACAACTCTGTCATAGTCCTTCGGTATTTTAATTGTATTACTGCAGCTGTGATTTCGATTATCAAGAATCTGTTCTTTTTGACCATAGTTGGTGGATTTTCTGAGGGTTGCTGTTTTTTCCCTTGTCAGTTTATTCTATAAATGTTGCTTTTTTAGGTTCATTATCGATTACTGCTCATGGTATTTTTTTGTCCTTATCCAGTTCATAATAATGCTGTTGCAGGAACCAGTAAGTACTCCTCTACCTTCTACTATGCATGGTTCTGGCTGATACTTTAATCTTAGTAAATTTAGTACTTTTGAAATCTCAAGAATTTTTGAATGTACACATGCTCCCATTTCAAGTGGCACACCAAATACAATACTTATCAAGTTTAAAAAACATTTGTCATGACAGTTTTCATAGGTCATCTGCACAATCTTGTATTACAACCCATAATCTAGTAAAACATATGGTATGAATAGTTCATTTCTGTACATTGCTAAAAGGTTTGTTCTCTGTATTCCCATACTGTATTCCCATACTGTAAATTCTTCTGACTCAACTTTGGAATACAGATTCCACTGTTCAGAGCTTCTTTTCAAGAAAAGTAGTATATAAATTCATAGATTCCAAGGCCTGAAGGGACCTTTGTGGTTATGTAGTCAGAGCTTTTTGTATAACAGAAGTGATAGAACTTCCTTGAAATAATTACTATATGGTTTTTAGAAAAACTTTAATCCTGATTTTAAACTTGCTAGTGTTATATTCTGTTACTACCTCTGGTAAATTATTCAGTGGTTGGTTATCCTCAGTTAAACACTTGCACGTTAACTGTATTAGTCTAGCTTCAGCTTCCAGCCAATGGATTGGATTATATACCCTTTTTTGCTGCTAGATTGAAGAGCCTATTGTAAAGTATTTCTCTGCAGTGGTACTTAAAAACTGCTCTATAGTAAATGAGCTTGGTGTCCTTTATTATGTTTTTTTCCTAGCCCATTAACCATTCTTATGACACCCTTATTCCAACATCTTATATGAATTGTAGACATCAGCACCAGTAATAACATTCCAGCAGTAGTTGTTTTCAGGCCAAATAGAAGTGTAATTTATTGCCCTTTTTTATGCACCTATGGATCACATTAGGGCCCCCCCCTCCTTTGCCACAATTATTGCAGAGGAGTTGATGTTAATTTGATAATCCACCATTACTCCCCCTCTTCTACCCCCCAACTTATTTCAGTTAAGGTAGAAAACTCTACCCTAAAAAGTACCATGCATTGTGATCTCGTTTTTGTTGGGCGCTTTTTTGGCCTTGATGTTCACTTTTACATTTAGTTATCTGAGAGTACATGCTTCTGTTTCACCTATTTTACCAACTGATCAAGATTGTTCTAGTAGTGCTCTCATCTTCCTTTTTTACTACTCTAATACTTGTGGAGTGGAACCTTATTACTGATTTTTGTGGAGGTGTGTGGGGTTTTTTTTTGGGGGGGGGGGTCGTCCTGGAGCACTGATGAGTAGCATAGGGCAAACTGGTCAGTTGTTCCCTGTAACTTGTGCAAGTATGCAGGAGATTCCAGTTTTACCTGGCTGATGAGCAGTCTGCCCATAGGTGCACATTTGCACAAACAGGTGAGCTGACACTCGCTGGGTCCTTTAGCCAAGGTGGTTTGCAGAAGGGGGGGAGGGATTTGTGCTCCCAGAAGCAGCAGCAGCTTCCCCCTGGTGCTGTCTGGACCATGTCCCCTACTCAGCATCTCTGGAACATACTGGGCAGAGTTGTGCTGGTGATTTAAAGGGCCTGGGCCTCTGACCATCCAGCAGCAGCCAGGAGCTCTGGGCCCCTTTTATCCCTCACCCCCTTGGCAGGCCTGCACATGTAAAAAAGTATTCTTGATGTGGATGGCGAAAACTGCACAAGGATGAAAGACCGGTGCAAACACTGCCAATAAGGCTTTAGTAGAAACATACTAGAAGGGGCTTGAGTTCCTAGTTGAGACTAGGGATGTTAATCACCTAATGGAATAGTGGATGGAATTTGCATAAACTATTTGATTAGTCGATAAGGGTTGTTCTCTCTTTTGAAATGTAGCAAGAACCCTGCTGGCTCTTGCTACATTTAAAAGGCAGAAGCACCATAGTGAGCAGGGGCTCAAGCAGTTCCCTACTGGTCCTATGCTCCCTGCTTTTGAAAGGTGGAAGTTCCTCCAGTATCCTGTTGCACTTCTGCCCCTTCTCACCACCCCCCAGCTCCTGGAGGAGAACTGGCTTTTAAGCCAGCTCCTGCTTTTTTGCCTCCATCTCTTTTTCCTCTCCTCCCCAGAGAGGCAGCAAGGGCTTATAGCCCTAGTTGTGACCTTTTCCGGAGCCAGTTGTTACTAGTTAGTGCCTATACCTATGGCTGGGTTAGTCTAATTTTTTAAACATCTGCCTTAGTGGAACAGCGCTGTCTGTCATAAAACACTCAAGCCTATCAGCCGGTTTGGTTAATCCCCGCTTTTCCCCACCCACTGGCCAGTTCTAGCCCACTTCCTTAGTTCTTCATTCATCAGGCCTGGACGCTGGGGGGGAAGGGATACCGGCCCTCTATTGGCCCGAGCAGGGACCACCGAATTGTCACTCACAGCTCCGCCCTTCGCTTCTCATTGGCTGTCTTCAACGTGCCCCCGCCTCTTCCTCGTCGATGCCTTTTAAATGCAGTGAAAGGGCACCGCCTACAGGATCGTCATTAGGCCCCGCCCCTGGTTCCTTCCTGGGGCAGGCTGGTGGGCTGGACAAGATGTCCGTCATCTCCCGCGGCGCCCTCCGTGCGCCTGACGTCAGACACCACCCAGGAAGCCCCGCCTAGTCAGTCTGAACTCGGCTCTTAAGGGGAAAAGCAGTTCCAAGATGGCGGCGGCGCTGCTAACAATGGGGAGTCCGGGCTGTGGGCCTCAGCGAGGCGGCCGCCGCGCCTGAGGGAAGTGGCGCGGGCTCCGGCCGGGCCGGGCCGGGGGGGG